CACTAAAACACACAAACAACCTCACACACACACACACACACACACACTCACAGACACACACACACGCACACACACACACACTGGTTTGTTTTTATGGTTTATGGGGACTCTCCATAGGCTTAATGGTTTTTATACTGTACAGACCGTATATTCTATTGCCCCACACCAACCCTACCCCTAAACCTACCCCTCACAGGAGACTTTCTGCATTTTTAGATTTTCAAAAAAACTCATTCTGAATTATTTATAAGCCTTTTGAATTACGGGGACACTGAAAATGTCCTCATAAATCACCTTCTCTTGTAATACCTATGTCATACCCATGTTATTATACAAATTTGTGTCCTCATAAACCACATAAACATGCACACACACACACACACAAACTCACACACACTCACAGACACTCACACACACACACACACACACACACACAAACTCACAGACACAGACACACACTCTCTCTCTGACACACACACACACACACACAGACATTACTATCAGGGATGTCTGCAGTATTCTTATTAATGGTACAGAAAAATGTAATCATAGGTGACTTTCGTCACAGCTGTTTGTTTACTTTACAACACCGGTCTCGATGAACATTCTGAACACGCTGCACATACATGTCAACTTACTCTCATTAGAGTATTAGTAGATTTTCTGCTTAACATCTGCTAACTCTTTAGTGTGATGGTCTCCCTACAGACATCTGCAAGTACATGTCAGCTCATTCTGACCCAAACTCCACCAGTCTGAAACCTTACAGAATGTGTTCAAGTCAAAATAACGTGAAACCCCAGTCTCTAATCATGAAAGATCCAGTGGAGGGTGTTTTATAGTGTCCACTGTATGTGTACTGTACGCTGTGAAGCAGTGGGATCCTGCAGCACTGCAGGCTGATTTATGGGAACTGTCAGGTGTCACTGCTGGTTTGTGTAGAGCTGGTGTGTCTCTGCCGAAGGGAAGGAGCAACTCTGTGAAATCTACACTCGCACATATGAAACACACTCCTCTATAGCTTCCTTTTCCCTTTGTGTCCTTGTTAATGTAGTTTGCTTTTGTCCCAAGAGTTAATTCGGGGTCAGATTGTACTTTGTGAGTCGTTGAGAGCATGCAACAGAAATAAATCAGACGTCATATGAAGTTGACATCGTAGTAACATGAAGGCTCTGCTGTTTTTTTTGGGTTCCACAGCAGACACACCCATCGAGGAGTTCATCCCGACTCCTGCGTTCCCCGCGCTGCAGTACCTGGAGTCTGTGGATGAGGGTGGCGTCGCCTGGCTGATGGGGCTCCGCTCAGGGGACTTTCTCATCGAGGTACGAGCCCTGCATACTCTACACTGTGACATGAAGCAGCTAGCTTTCTCATGCTTCTCTGTAGGGATGCGAATCTAAAGATTCAGGTTTCCGTTCCATTTATTCTGGTTTCATTTGCTGTCCTCAGAAACCTGTTGATGAGTGATTTCAATAACGACAGATCACAAATAATGCTGATTTCCTGGTGTGATGTAACCAGATGGTCCACTCCAGGTTTTATTTGCGTATCTCCCTGTTCCGGGTTTTTCATTTTTTTTTCACGGTCAATCTGAAATATTAAATGCATACAAAAGGGAATCCCTCTGTCAATGTAAATAATGAGAATGAGATTTAGTTCTAAAGCTTGTTTGTATGTCTGTAGTTATACTAAATTACAGTTTTCTCAACTGCTTACACACATTTTCAAAACTTTGCCTCTTTTTTTCTAAACTTTACACACAAATCCAAGAACTACACACAAAATGCAAAACGCCTCACATCTCTTGCAAAACGAAGCACTGCATTCACAATATCACTAACACATCTCAAAAGCAAACGTCTGTCTTACGTTGCAAACACCTTTGCCATAATATTCTATTTCTGGATATATCATAAACACAGTTATTCAAAACCTAAAGCTCTTCTTTCATGAGCTCCTGTGTTCATTTCTCTAAAGTAATTAGCAGAGATTCACGGTAAACACGAACGAGAAGGAGAATGTCTTAAAATGTAGGGTGTATTCAGGTAAATTTGGATGCTTTTCATCATCATGTCATCATGTTTAAAACTAATTATTTCGACTCAAGATATTCTTGTATCTCAGCTTATGCTTGCTGCCATATTTAACGGCATAGAGTTGAAACTGTAATTCAAATGTAAGTCGACCAGCACTGCATTTAGAAATCAGGTCAAATAGCCATATGTTCTCACGGCCTACATGTAATACACATACATGAGTTAAACCTCAGTCGCCTTTTGTTTCAAATGATTGTAGGGAAATATCCTCTTCATCCAGAACTCTGTTGGTTCTCGGTCTTCTTGAGTGTCCTGATGCCATTTCACTGACTGATGCAGTGAGAGAGCAGTCCGAACCAAATCACAGACCGCTTTGCAAAATGGTTTGGCCAGTTCACTGAAAAGAACCGACTCCGATGTCATAATATTCTCAGATCAGTCCAAGCGCTCATATGCACAGATGCACTGGAATAACCCATTCAGTAAATAATTCACAAGACCTGGAGCATGCATTAAGAAAGCAAACAGGCCTCCTTTTGGACTTGCAGCTGCAGTAGTAAACATCTTCCATTCACCTCTTCAGATCCTCCATCTTCAAACAGAAACCAGTAATGACCAGTAAGATCCTGAGCAGTGTGATTTCTGTTACAGGTCAACCATCAGAATGTGGTGAAGATGGGACACCGGCAGGTCGTTAACATGATTAAACATGGAGGAAACCGACTCGTCGTTAAAGTGGTGACAGTGAGCAGGAATCTCGAACAAGACGACAACACCCGTAAAAAAGGTACTAGACACTCACTGCACGTGTAGTCAGGACTAATGATGGATGGCCTGTTTTGAGATTCTTATAAGTCCTGCAAATAATAGAATTACTTTAATGTTACTTACTTATTTCGTGTGCGTCAGCACACCGTATTTTGATGTAGCTGCACATCCAGAACAAGCTAAACTGTGTTCCTGAGTGAGTAATGTTCCCGAGTAATATAAATGATATACAGAATACATTACACAGAAAGCAAATAGAGGATAAAATCACAACACTCCCTTCAGTGCAGATGTGAGTGGCAGTGGTGTGTATATGACAGACATGTTTTGGTATCATAGCTCCTCCTCCACCAAAGAGAGCCCCGACAACTGCACTCTCAATGCGATCCAAGTCCATGACATCTGAACTAGAAGAATTAGGTGAGTTAAATCTGATAAATCACTGCTATTTTTGTGAGATCTCTCTAAGCATCACTATTACTATTGCTTTTATTAGTGTGATTTTCAGCACAAGAGTTTAATTCCTGAAATCCAGCCTTTTGGTTTTCTGAATATCTTGGATAAATTAAGCAACAGTTCAGTTCTTCTGATCCTTATATAATAGGTAAAAATGTCAAAGTTTGGGTATCAACATTATGCCACTATTGATCGAGCTTAACCTTTGAACCGAGAATATTCCTTTCAAAAGAACCCGATCATCCTGCACTGGTCACTGTATGTTTGTTGCTGCGTGCAACCAGGAAGGACGATTTGAGATGAAGTTGTCTATTTATAGTCTTTGCATTATTTTACTGTGAATAAAAAAAACTATTTATTCCCAAACCTAATTTTGATAGGGGAGCCCAGAACTGATGCACGATGAGGGAGTGATATTTCTGCTTCAGTATGTTAGGATGAATTGTTGTTTTGTAAGATGGCATCACATTCTTGGGGGTGACGGTTACTCCAGGAATAATACAGATATTTTTAATGATCAGATCTGAGTGGTCTGTGGATACTATGAATACATCTGTAGACCATTCAAGCCACTTTGTCCAATTCCAAAATGTGCCCATTACCGATATCTTACCAAACAAAGTAAAGAAGGTTCAGGATGTTAAGTCAAAACTCATGCCACTACAATTTTACTTTTTTTATTGTTCTTAATGCAAGCAGTGATAGAGCTGGATCAGCAGCCCCCACCCAACCCAATCTCTGCAAGATGGCCTAAAATGATTTAAAATGACAAAACAAGCTTTAAAAAGTTTAAATCATCAAGATGTGAGCTGAAATCATATTCCTTATTTTAATATGGTTTAATAGAGGTTTATTTTAGTGAAATGTGAAAAAATAAATGTTTGAGTTAACGTTTTTTTTTCTTTGGCTCTGAAAATGATCATGGTTTGTTGTTTACTGCAATGCAAGCACTTTTTTCCTTTATGCTGTATCCCTGTGGTTAATTGATAAACTTGCAGAGAATGGATGCCTGTGTTAGAGATCGAATGAAATTTGTACTCCTGTTCCTCATACATTACTGCCTTTTGCAGATAAAGTTGAAGAGACCGTGCAGCCACAGAAGCTTGTGCATGAAAAAGCCTCATTGGACAAAGTTGCCACGATCAAGCCCCGCCCCTCAAGTCGCTTTTTGGCCACATCCATGGATTTTAATGTAAGTTGCTTTTGTCTTGTATTTTAAAATTAAATGTGAACACCACTTTTGGATTACAGTTATGATGGATAATTAAAAAAAAAACTGTCTTTATGTATGTGCACATTGAGCTCTTAATAAATCTTAATAAATCTGTTTTATAGCCGTCCACGTCTGAAAGGCCAGGAGTTGCTGTAGTTCCCCCTAGTGTTCCTGCAAGATCCCATGGAAGTTATGTTCGTGTGCCAAAAAGCTGTATGAGAAGACAAAAGTCCATTGGTAAATATTTTCTTGCTACTTTAGATGCTCAGTTGAAGGTGTGAGGATGTGACTGTAAAAAAATAACAAAGCTAAGCAACTTATTGAGGTGATAGTCTAAACATGCTGCATGTTTCTTTCCCAAGGAATTGCAGGAGAAGAAAAGAAGCTCCTCATACCTCCACTGCTCAAGTTCACCAGAAGTCTCTCTATGCCTGACACATCTGAGGATATTCCCCCACCTCCAGGCGTTTCTCCTCCATCCCCACCTCACAACCTCAGTACTCCTATGGCACAAGTATATGAGCCCAACCAGCCCATTTACACACAGAACTCAACAGGCAGATGCCACACTATAGACAGAGATCTAGTCGGGTACCATCGCCAGAACTTTGAACAATATGACTGTCAAACTCCTTCGGCTGCCCAGCAAAACATGTGTTCCCATAACAGGGCCCATGTGCCAGAGAACCCATATTCAGACATAGTTGGCAAACATTTGTATATCCCACCAAAACCAGCTCGTAGGAAGGGTATATTGGTAAAGCAGCCAAATGTTGAGGATAGCCCTGAGAAAACATGTTCAATCCCAATACCAACCATTATTGTCAAAGAGCCTTCAACTAGCAGTAGTGGCAAAAGCAGCCGGGGAAGTAGCATGGAAATTGAAACTAGTGCCTCCGAGCAGCCAGGCCAACTACGGCCAGATGGCAGTCACATCGTGAGCAACCCTTTTGCAGCTGCTATTGCAGGGGCAGTACGTGACCGTGAGAAGCGGCTTGAAGCACGCAAGAACTCCCTAGCCTTCCTGTCAATGGATCTCGGAGATGAGGATCCATTTATCCCAACCCCTCGTTTACGCCAGTCTATGTCCATAGATGAAGGCATGTTTGCCAGCGATAAGAGTTTACAAAAGTTTATGGCTCCACCGGCTTCTTTATTAGAGCTCCAGCAAATTGTAAGTGGAGGCAACATGGCTGGCTTTACCATCCCAGAACCAACAACTGAGCACCTCACAACACGCACCGGGAGCTGCCCCAATACAGACGGTCCCATCAGTCTCGATGGAGATTTCCAAAACCAGACATTAGGAAAGACTCATGATATTTGTCCACCCTTGGCTCTGGGTCTAGCTTTAAGTAATAGAGCTCTGAAGGAGCACGTGCAACCCCCTCTTCCTCCACCTAAAGGAGAACCTTACAAAGCAAACCTCAACCAGCCACTCTTCATAGACACCAAGCTACGGTCCAATATTGATGCCAGCTTTGTTGCCACAGCTACAGTGGGTCAACCAAAATATTGTGGAGCTTTGTTTAGACACACAAGAGTGTCCAATCACGAAACAGAAAAGGCAAAGGAAAGAAATCCATCTGAGCAGTTGAAGAACTCCAAGAACACATCACAACAGCAGTCATCTGGGCTCCCACCACTTTTAGATTATAATAATGATGCATAATTATTCATAAAACTGTCTTGTGTACATTGAGCTCTTATCAACAAATCTGTTTTACAGCCGTCCACGTCTGAAAGGCCAGGAGTTGCTGTAGTTCCCCCTAGTGTTCCTGCAAGATCCCATGGAAGTTATGTTCGTGTGCCAAAAAGCTGTATGAGAAGACAAAAGTCCATTGGTAAATATTTTCTTGCTACTTTAGATGCTCAGTTGAAGGTGTGAGGATGTGACTGTAAAAAAATAACAAAGCTAAGCAAATTATTGAGGTGATAGTCTAAACATGCTGCATGTTTCTTTCCCAAGGAATTGCAGGAGAAGAAAAGAAGCTCCTCATACCTCCACTGCTCAAGTTCACCAGAAGTCTCTCTATGCCTGACACATCTGAGGATATTCCCCCACCTCCAGGCGTTTCTCCTCCATCCCCACCTCACAACCTCAGTACTCCTATGGTACAAGGATATGAGCCCAACCAGCTCATTTACACACAGAACTCAACAGGCAGATGCCACACTATAGACAGAGATCTAGTCGGGTACCATCGCCAGAACTTTGAACAATATGACTGTCAAACTCCTTCGGCTGCCCAGCAAAACATGTGTTCCCATAACAGGGCCCATGTGCCAGAGAACCCATATTCAGACATAGTTGGCAAACATTTGTATATCCCACCAAAACCAGCTCGTAGGAAGGGTATATTGGTAAAGCAGCCAAATGTTGAGGATAGCCCTGAGAAAACATGTTCAATCCCAATACCAACCATTATTGTCAAAGAGCCTTCAACTAGCAGTAGTGGCAAAAGCAGCCGGGGAAGTAGCATGGAAATTGAAACTAGTGCCTCCGAGCAGCCAGGCCAACTACGGCCAGATGGCAGTCACATCGTGAGCAACCCTTTTGCAGCTGCTATTGCAGGGGCAGTACGTGACCGTGAGAAGCGGCTTGAAGCACGCAAGAACTCCCTAGCCTTCCTGTCAATGGATCTCGGAGATGAGGATCCATTTATCCCAACCCCTCGTTTACGCCAGTCTATGTCCATAGATGAAGGCATGTTTGCCAGCGATAAGAGTTTACAAAAGTTTATGGCTCCACCGGCTTCTTTATTAGAGCTCCAGCAAATTGTAAGTGGAGGCAACATGGCTGGCTTTACCATCCCAGAACCAACAACTGAGCACCTCACAACACGCACCGGGAGCTGCCCCAATACAGACGGTCCCATCAGTCTCGATGGAGATTTCCAAAACCAGACATTAGGAAAGACTCATGATATTTGTCCACCCTTGGCTCTGGGTCTAGCTTTAAGTAATAGAGCTCTGAAGGAGCACGTGCAACCCCCTCTTCCTCCACCTAAAGGAGAACCTTACAAAGCAACCCTCACCCAGCCACTCTTCATAGACACCAAGCTACGGTCCAATATTGATGCCAGCTTTGTTGCCACAGCTACAGTGGGTCAACCAAAATATTGTGGAGCTTTGTTTAGACACACAAGAGTGTCCAATCACGAAACAGAAAAGGCAAAGGAAAGAAATCCATCTGAGCAGTTGAAGAACTCCAAGAACACATCACAACAGCAGTCATCTGGGCTCCTCATGGTCCACACACAAGATAAGGCCAAGCCACAAGTAAACACTCAGCCTGATATGTTAGAACAAGAAGAGTCCCCAGAAATGGACAGTGCACCCATTGAGTACAACGTCAAACTTACAGCCCCCAACTCCCGGCCACCTCATACAAGGAACATCGTCACCTCTGCGGAGGAGCCTGCCAAGCTTCCCCGTACCATTCCTCCTCCCCCAATGACCTCAGTGGATATTGATGAGGAGTTTGAACCCTTGCCTCCACCTCTGGAGTTTGCCAACAGCATTGATGTTCCTGAGGACCAGGTAGCAGAAATTCTCAAGCAGAAAAAGAATAACACAATAGGACCCATGCCTGTTTATCATTCACGTGCTTCTACAACTGACAGTGTGGAGTCCAAGTGTCTTTCGGGGCTTGTAAACTGCACGACTCCTCACACCTACCCTCCACCACCTCCAGAAATGTTTGAACCCGTCACGGACTCAGGCATTGAGGAAGCTGACAGTCGGAATAATGGGGACCCTCACTTTGAGGCCAACGGTACAGTTTCCACAGTGTCCAGTATTTCTACTCTTTCATCAGAGGGAATTGATGACACATGTATATACTATGCAGATGGGCAGACTCTTTTGGTGGACCGACCACCTGTTCCACCAAAGCCAAAAATGAAGCCCACAATCAACAAAAGCAATGCACTTTACAGGGACCCTTTGCACGATAGGATACACGAGAGCATAGAGTCCTTCGGACAGCCACCACCAGCCCCTCCGCCATACCTGGGTTATGGAGCACAATCTGAACTTCGCAAAAAACTTGCTCAGCGAGGCACTAAACTCTGGGACCACCATGAGCTCCCAAAGCCCCTCTTACCCAATGCAGGTCCTAAAGCCAATGTGATCAATGACCTTAGCTCCAAACTTCAGCAGTTGAACAAGGACAGATTTCCAAAACAGCCTGCAGGATCCAGAAGCATTGGAACAAGGTAAGCAGCACAATAACAGCCTAATCTGTCCCATATGCCATTTATTGAAAAAGCAACATTCCTGCACAAAATAATCAAACAAGATCAGAAAAATGTGGCAAAAATTAGGACAGTGTCTCACTTCTAGCTATATACAAGCTGTCTAAAGGTCACCCGTGGACTAGAACTAGAAAGCTGTGTATATTGATGTGTGGATTAGACACTCTTGGGGTAGATCAAGGACAACAAATGAAAAAAGATTAAACCACAGCCAAATGTTCCAGCTATGAGGTAATCTTTTATTGCAGGGGTAGCCAACCTTCCCGCAGATTTCAGTTCCTACCCTGCTCCAGGACACACCTGCCTGTAATTTTAAAGGGGCCATATGATGCGATTTCAAGTTTTCCTTTCTCTTTGGAGTGTTACAAGCTCTTGGTGCATAAAGAAGATCTGTAAAGTTGCAAAGACTAAAGTCTCGAATCCAAAGAGATATTCTTTATAAAAGTTAAGAGTCAACCACGCCTTCCTAAAACGGCTCGTTCTAACATGCCCCCACATGTCTATGTCACTATGTGGAAATATTAGCATAATGCCGCCCAAATGTGCATGCAAAGAAAGAAGGCGTGGTTTCAGGAACAGCAGTAGTGTTGATGCAGCATGTCAGGGAGACATTGCGAAAGCAAAAGCACATTATTTGGCCTTCCGGAACTAGATGCAATTAGGAATCATTGGTTAAGATTTATTTACAACAGAACAGCACAACCCAGATGTTCGAATTTGTGCAACGCATTTTATGGACGACAGTTTTCTTTTTAACGCTTGTGGTGTTCGGCCAATCACAATGCACTGGGTCAGCTGGCCAATCAGAGCAGACTGCGCTTGTCGGAAGGAGGGACTTTGTAGAAAACGAAGCGTTTGAGAGAGGCGGGGCATAGAGGACCTACAATAATGTACAGTATTTGAAAAATGATGTGTTTTTTGAACATTAAAGCATGTCAGCATATTCTGTTACACCAAATACACAAAATAATGATCTTTAAAATAGCATCATATGACCCCTTTAAAGAACCCTGAACACCTTGATCCTGGTTCAAGTGTTTGATTATGGCTGGAGCTGAATTCTGCTGGAAGGTGTCTGTCCAGGAGCAGGACTGGACAAACGTGCTTTAACAAACATTCTCAACAATTTATCTTGGTATATCTTAAATTTCATTAGAGTCATGACCTCCGTAGGAATATATGAATTGATGAATTTACAATACTGAGAAAATCCCAGCATAGAGTCCTTTTGTCATTTTATCTCCTAATCTCTCTCTGTTTGCCCAGAAACTAAAAAATATGTTTTGGTTGCAAACTCCTCAGAATGCTTATCTCATGAACTTTGAGAATGACTAACCAGACAATATAGTCAAAGCAAAGTAAGTTGTACACTCAGAAGATCTGGGAGCACATTCTGAGACTGGAATTCCTGCTCAAACAAATGTCCTTGTATTTGTAATGATGGTTACAAAGGTGGCTCAACACTGGATATAACTGAGTGATCTGTTCATTCTCTTTGAATGGGCGCAGTGCAGTCCCAGACTGCAATCAGTGTTAGCACAGATCCGGCCCGCATGGATTTCACAAGTGTGGGCCGGATCTGGGCCAACACTATGTTGCTGTCTGGGGTGGTGTCTTTTGAGCCACATGTATTGATATAGTGAATGTTGTTGTTGGATGATGCTAGAGAGCTTTGTTCTTTTCCTTAATGAAACTCAATGAGCCGCACAACCTGTTCTCTTTCTGTGTGTGTGTGTACTCAGAGAATGGACGGCCCAAGCCTCAGGTACCAAACGCAGCAACACGGTTCCCTCAATAACCCCGAGCCACTTGCCCCTTCAGGCTTCCAGTCCAGCCTCGCCTCCTCCTGAATCTGGTCGTTGCTCTTCTCTGCCAGGCTCTGCCGCCTCCCCCACATTAACAGATGTATTTAGCCTGCCATCTCCACCCATTGTGAATGCAGAGCAATGCTACAGCCTCAGCTCAGTCAGCAGTCGATCGCCGTCCCCTCTCACGCTGCTTCAGGCTTCAGACAAGCCCTTTGCTGACAAACCCATCCTACTCTGGACCAAGCACGATGTAGCCAACTGGCTTGAAAGCCTCAACTTGCAGGAACACAAGAAGGCCTTCTTGGACAATGAAATTGAGGGCACCCACCTTCCCAACCTCCAAAAGGAAGACCTTGTAGACTTGGGTGTCACCCGTGTTGGTCACCGGATGAACATTGAAAGGGGTCTCAAACTTCTAATGGACAGATAAAGGGTGCATACACTCGGTAAAGTGCTTGGCATGGATATTGGCTTGATCAATCCCTCGTTTTCTCCAGCTTCTTTCAGACTAGCTGTGTTGCATCTGTTGAAAAGTGTGGGGCGATGTTCTCTGTATTGTATTCAGAGGCACAGTAAGTACCATGGATGCAGAACTGCACTCAGGAACACTTCTAAGAGGACTCGTTCTTGCCATCAAAGGCTTTGTTTAAATGTCTGGAGCTCGTCTCTAACCAGCAGAGCTTGGATAGAGACAAGTCCTTTCTTTTTTAGCTTTGATACAGCTATTTCTGGGAAAATTTCATTCCAGATGTTTTCTGCAAGCGTTCTGTATGTGGCAGAGAACATGGATACCCAGAAGAGCACTGTTGTTTTGTCCTTATAAAATAAGGTTAGCTAAAAACTTTAAATTCACTCAGGCTTGAGCAGGAACATGTATTCACACCCTTAATATTCCAGATAAGTGCAAGGGATGGTGGCACTAGTGAAGCCGCTCTTCATCCTTGATGCTTCTTGATTTTCATGAGATTGAATGAGGACGGGGTCACCTACAGCTCTGTCTGATCCTGTCCGTGAAAATTAAATGCTAAAAAATACATATATGCTTTCCCTAACATTTCCCTATACAAAAAGGATATTTTTTGTGTTCTTGCTGAAGATTACGCAAGCTATAGAGAATTAAAAAAAACAAATAACTAAGGCTTGAGAGGAAGAATGATCTTAATGAGAGCTTGTGGCGTAGCTCATAAATCAGGGGTAATTATTATTGTGCTCATCAGCTGCCATGGATTAAATAACATCTATAATAGCCTCGCATTAAGGTAGCGACAGCTTTTTTTTATATTGTGACTTGGTTGTGGATCGTGATATTGATTGGATGAAGGCGGATCTGACTATGAGGTTTCCGAGGACTGTAAGGCTGGTCAGACAGTTGGAGATTTATGGCCGATTTGCAGATGTTGCATGCTTCTATAGCTGAAACTTGGCAGCAACAAACATGCCACGAATGTAGAGTACTGAGAAAGAACATTACCCATATTCTTTTTTTTCTATTTTGTTTTTCACTGTACAACAGAATGCGCGCCAGCTGACAACGTCGATTGTCCTCTGTGTTTTTCTTCTCTAGTCACGGTTGAAACTGTCTTCATGTCTGTGGTCTCCCATGGTTTTAAAATCGGTTAAGAACTGAAAATCATCTAGTGTGTCCCAGGCCTAAGAAAGTGGTGGAGTTCAAACAGACTGAATGATTGGAGTCAAGATCCAGTTGTGACATCAAAACTACTATGAAAAATGAAATGCATGCATAGATGAATAGCTCACAATAAGATCAATTACACATTTAAAAAGTAGCTTGGAATGAAATGGAAATTCACTCTATTTTAATGCGAGTTGTGGTTTTGGAGAGATTCCGCGAGTCGAGTGGGTTTTCTTTCTTTAACAGAGGCTATATTAAGCAGCTTTTGTTATTCTGCAACTTGGAACCATGTTTCTTAGCCAACATACACTGGAAAAATTGAGTCAATGATTACTTTTTACATTTTTATTTAGATTTTTGTATGTGCCACTCACTGCAGTATTGATAGTGATAATGTCTCTGAAACGAGAAACGATATGTTTGCCATCACCTGCTGCTGAGATTCTGAGTACGAGTCGATATAGAACACTATTTTTGAAATGTGGGCCAGGAATTAAAAATCGCAAGCCTTTCCTGAACGAAGGTTTGCCAATACACTGCTGCTACTGTGAAAATAGACATTTTATAAAATAGATCGTCTTCTGATAGCATACAATAGAATAAGAGAGTATTTTCAATTTATATTATTATATTGCCTTTTCCAAACGCAGTTTCAATGGTATTGTTCCCACTTAAGTGTGGTTTGCCAAAAAAGTAAAATGTTTAAATAAAATGGATATAGATTCTTAATATAGCAAATCCAAAAAAGCAATATATTTATACTATGGATAATACATTTTGTGTATATTTAGATAATGTTCCCATCACATCATTAAACAAGCACAATGTTCACCTGATAAAACTGCTGGTTTATCGATAGAGTTGTCAATCCCTTACTGTTTAGCTATGATTTTTTCCTTTGACTTCAACCTATTTTGCTTTACTTTGATTAAAGACTTGTGTTCATGTTGTTAATGTCGCCGTAAGATCTTCAAAAATGGAATAACTAACTCATTGCAATGACCAAGAAAACAGTAGGATTCACACGTTTGAGCGCAGTTACACCTTGTATGGCAAACAAATCTGAAAGAAATAAACATCGCTCCAGTTGAGCTCTGTTCCTGTGCATCAATGCGTCTCACAAACACACGCACTTGATGAAAGCTACTGTAAGAGAAATAACGTTTCAAACACGGAGGGTGTGGCTGCGCAATGGATTGTGAAAAATACTAGGTTCTATTTTTTTATTCTTAAATGATATTTCTTATAAAACAGCCTTGTAAAGAGAGCCAGTATAGATAAGCACATAATTTGTTTGAAAAGGTTACTTAACTAAAATACTTAGCAAAACACAGATTATGTCATTAGTTGCTGCTAAGCCATTAAACAGAATTAACTCCTCTGCACCTGTGTGGATTGTCATTTAACAGCAGATCATTCGATATAATTCAGCGTCACAGACAGAAATGTCATGCACTCACAAAAAGATCATTCTGCCAGCACATCGAGAGCGAGTCCAGAGGAATCAGAACACAGAGAAGCATGGAGACGATGCAAATCAGACAGACATACAGTTCACAGCACATAACGCATTAACATCTGATTTAAATACACAACCTTTCAAATACCACCAAAGTGATTTTTATGAATGATTTCAAACACTGCGACTGAATGTCTGTTCATCCTGTACTCAGACGTGACGCAGAATTCTAGCAGTGACGGATTATGGCATTATATTTTGGCCTTCATTGATTATGATCATTCATATTTTCAAACTTAACGCAGTTAATCCCTATTCCAACACTGCAAAAAGACACCGAAATGAGCTAAAAGTGTTCGTTCGAGTCAAAGAAGCCGTCCGTGTGACATTATTTCTCTAAAACATGCCAGAAGATCTCTGGTCTACGATCTCTTATTTCACATACTGATGTATATATGTGTGTGTGTGAGCGAATAAACTCTCAGATGTGTCATAAAAGCTCTTGGCTCCAGTAAAGCGCACACACCTGCTGACGTGAAACAGGAAGTGAGAGATGAGCTGAAGGAAGCAGAATGACCGGCGAACGCTCGACATGCTACAGTGAAAGAAGAGAAAGCAGGGCTGATAACGGACTGGAAGCATGACTCTCGTTCAGCGACGGCCGCCGTGTAAAGAGCGCACGGAGCGAGACTACTGTCGGACTTCAACGTAGTTGGCTGGGAAGAGTCCGTACGTGCCCCGACACACGCCCCTCCACCAGCCCTCGTCGATCATCTCGATGTTGGTGATGACGTCATCCGGATCGAAGGAGATCTCGTCGTCTCCCGCTGGAGAGAAACAGAGGCACGCTACATGACTCCCTTCTGTTTCAGCCACGGAGTAATAACAAAGTCAATTACTTTTCATCTCACAATTCTGCCTTTTTCCCCCTAAATTGTGGGATTCACTTTTTCTTCTTAGAATTGCAAGTTATAAACTTCACAATATGTACTTTTTTTTTGTTTGTTTACGCCACTGAATAAAAAAAATTTAACTTTTCATTTCACAGTTGACTTTTTATCTTGCAATTGTGAGTGTAAATCTGGCAATAATGACTTTTTCTCTCAGAACTTCAAGAAAAGATGTCAGATTTGTGAGATCAAAAACCACAATTACCCGTTTATGTTTTTATCCCTTGGAAAACACAAGCTTCACAAACACAAAAAAAATAAAAAAATTTATAGCAGATTCAGACATGTATCTAATATTTCTTGGATATAGTATAAATGGTCCATACCCATTTACTTGATGTTTTTTATTTGTATTTTGGTATAACAGGAGTGATCTATTTTTTGGTGTCATGCCGCTCACATACAGTGTAAACAATGTAAAATGTTTAGTGCCATACTATGATCTTCTAAGCCACAGTTTGTAACTCTGTGTCAAACTCATCAGATTGTTCACTCACCGGCCTGATAGTCGTACAGAGCCACGGCAGTCACGCCGAGATCCTCGCCAAACTCGTACGACTGAGCACCTGAAACACACACACACACACAGACACACACACACAGACACACACACACACACAGACAGACACACACACACAGACACACACACACACACAGACAGACACACACACACAGACACACACACACACACAGACAGACACACACACACAGACACACACACACACACAGACAGACACACACACACAGACACACACACACACACAGACAGACACACACACACAGACACACACACACACACAGACAGACACACACACACAGACACACACACACACACAGAGACACACACACACACACACACACACACACACACACACACAGAGACAGACAGGTCACTGAGAGAACACACACCTGCCCAAACCAGCCTAGAACAGGAGCTTACGCTGAAAGCTACACCAGCGGCTGCTATTCTGCACTAATCTGATCATCTGAGGTGTATCGATGTACCCATGATTACAGCTGATCACCTCATTATTGCAAACGTCACTAACATCAAACAGCCAGGAAAATAAATAAACAAATAATAATTGTTTTGAATTATTACGTTTGTAATAATAGTACATTTTAGGCAGTAAAATGTTGGAAACTATTGTAGCTGCCTTTATTTATGGATCTGATGTGCATAAACACGGACGAATGACAGAAATACACCATTTCCAGTGAAATCTGTAAAATATAAATCAGCTTTATAGGCTTCTCAGAGTCAATCAGGGATGGACAAACACTGTTTGTTAGATGGATTTATACAGTTTTATGTTGTACTTGCTCATGATTTAAAACAAACAGATGTTGGGTTGTGTAGCTTTAACGTGTGGGTGTCAGCAGGTGTGAGCGCACCTGAGGTCTGGTTCTGCTCGTCCGGCTCAGGGTTCTGGTACAGCTCTTCCTGGACCGGTTCTTCATATGTGGGTTCTTCTGAGACCGGCTCCACCTCGTAGAGGTTTGCACCGTTCTCCACCGCCTCCGTGACGGGCTCCACCTGACGGACACAGCACAGACTCTCAGAAGCGCTTCAGACATGATCTCAGCACGGGGATTTCTTCAGTCTCAGTATTCTGCTGCGATCCACCGACTCTCTGTGCCTCTCATGCGGCACATACACAAGAGCAGCAGACACACCTCGCATGGGCTCATCATACATCACCACACGCTAAAGCTTGTTAAAGGACGCATCAGTGCAGGGATGCTCAATGTATTGATAAATCATTTTAAAAGAGACGAGATGCTACTATATGGCCACATTTCATGGCCTTTACAAATTGTGTGCTTATGTGACTAGCAGACAATAATTGTCAACTAAAACCACATAAAAAAAATATTACTTGAAATAAAATTAATTATTTTTTATTTTTTTTTAAAAACACTTAATTCAGCTAGTTACCAAGGCAACATTTCTCATTCAGTTTAAGTGCTAAGAAAATAAAAAATTAAAATAAACTAAGAGACTCAAACTAATATATATATATATATATAAATCTATAAAGCCTATTTAAATAAAACACTATTAAAAACGATAAAAAAAAAATGTAAATGGATTCAGCAAGCAGGTTTTTGAGCAACGTATCAATAATGAAACTAGTCAGCAAGTACTGTGTGGGGATGTTAATGATTAACGATCAGTATTAAAGCATTCGAAACAGCTTATCTATTATTAATCATTAATATCAACACACAAAAAACCCACCCTCCTAATTAAGATCAATCTATTTAAGATGAATTTCTGAATCACTTTGTAAGATTTGAACTCCAAAGACAGAAGACGAGATCAGTGAACAGCAGATCTTTAAATCAGCGCTGCACAAGAATCATGGGAGCTTCTCGAACCGGTGCAGTCCTTCTCAGACTTTTAGTCTAGACTTCTCAGCATTAAACACTAGAACGAGACCGTCTCATTACATGACTAACTACATCATCAAGGTTTCTGCCTCCACAGTAAATACTATTCAAAATTCAATGTTAAAAAATCGTTATGCCTATTAATGTAAAATCTCTAAATGTCTGTTGATGCACCGCAGTGAATGACAACCATCTGCGATTCATTTAAAATTATAAAGCGGATAGTTTCAGTGCTTGACTCTGATTGGCTGAGCCGTGTTCGAAGCTGTTGTGAATGACGCTACAAAGTAACACACACCTTTGTTTACGTCTGTGTGTTGCTCGGCAACCACTTTGTAGCAACCACAACTGTTTCTGAGGAGCTACATTGTTTGGTGGAAGAATACTGTGTTTATTAATATCATTACACTTTATTTGCTCTGCTTTATTTTGTGAAACCTTACTACGTATAACCGTTTTATAAAAGCAATAAGCCACGTGAAGCTTATCTATTATTAATCATTAATATCAACACACAAAAAACCCACCCTCCTAATTAAGATCAATCTATTTAAGATGAATTTCTGAATCACTTTGTAAGATTTGAACTCCAAAGACAGAAGACGAGATCAGTGAACAGCAGATCTTTAAATCAGCGCTGCACAAGAATCATGGGAGCTTCTCGAACCGGTGCAGTCCTTCTCAGACTTTTAGTCTAGACTTCTCAGCATTAAACACTAGAACGAGACCGTCTCATTACATGACTAACTACATCATCAAGGTTTCTGCCTCCACAGTAAATACTATTCAAAATTAAATGTTAAAAAATCGTTATGCCTATTAATGTAAAATCTCTAAATGTCTGTTGATGCACCGCAGTGAATGACAACCATCTGCGATTCATTTAAAACTATAAAGCGGATAGTTTCAGTGCTTGACTCTGATTGGCTGAGCCGTGTTCGAAGCTGTTGTAAATGACGCTACAAAGTAACACACACCTTTGTTTACGTTTGTGTGTTGCTCGGCAACCACTTTGTAGCAACCACAACTGTTTCTGAGGAGCTACATTGTTTGGTGGAAGAATACTGTGTTTATTAATATCATTACTCTTTATTTGCTCTGTTTTATTTTGTGAAACCTTACTACGTATAACCGTTTTATAAAAGCAATAAGCCACGTGAAGCCGTGGTTTACAGTGAATTTATAACAGCTAAGAGGGTTTTAGGCACTCCGCTTCAACGCCCCTTCACTGTAAACCACGGCTTCTCTGGGCTTATTGCTACACATTAAAACAGCTAGAGTACGATACAGGTACAATTACGACAAATTACTACAGTATTCAAATCTTGTCTACCGTCACATTCAAATGTAGCATGTTAATGACACACAGGAGACTCCATGTGTTTCATGCACAATTTCTTATCTGTGTGATGTGGTGGCACGGGACAGAGTTCAGAGAAGAAATGCTATTTATCTCAGGCCAAATCCAGCTCTTACATAAGAGCCACATCATACGGTTTACTAGCAGACGCGTGTTGACTCACGAGCAGATCTTGTTTTCTGCGCGCCTCCTCCTGCTCCTGCTTCTCCTTGGCCTGTCGTCTAGCGCGCTCCTCTTCGGCTCTCCTCCGGTCCTCCTCCTCCTTCTGCTTCGCAATGTTCTCAAAGCGAGCTTTAATACTTCCAGCGCCGCTGCCAGCTGAACAGAGCGCAGCACGTCTTCACTCAAACCTCTACAGGCTGTGATTGATTCATTATAGCGTGTGTGTTTCTCCTGACCTGCTTCTACAGGACGGGTCTTCTGATACGCCGCGCTCGGCTTCTCCACCTCCTCAAACCTGCCGGCGCTCTGAAGACGAGAGCAATGACAACACCAATGCACACACCTTTTTCACAACCGTCATTCTCGTTCTGATCGCATGCAAAAACAACAACACCTAACACAAAAGCCTCATCTGTGTGTTAACTGTAATGATTTGATCAGTGCACCTTGTCCATTCG